AATTTCGTGTAATTTGTCAAATGCTGGCAACATTATGGAGACGTTTAAGATTAGGTCCTTCAGTGCATAACAATCAGTTGTTAAAAAGATGTGTTTGAGATATTTTAGATGCAGAGTTCATATATATACTTTTATATTTAGCCACAATTATTTTGTGTAGTTACTCCTATGCTTCAGATTTGCTTAATTTTGTGAAGTGTATCACTTTTTACTTACCAGTGTTTTACTAATCGTGTTTCATAAGCAGTGGCAATAACAAGTTGTTTTTTATGCCGCTTATGTTGTCTTCATACTTAAGTAGATCTTTTTTAGATGCAGGACTTTTCAGGGGAAAAAGGAAATGATAGTAAAACAGAGGATGGAGCCCAATCCATGATGCCTGAAGAGTTAATAGATCCAACTTTGAGTTCACTCACAAAGGAGAGTTCAAAAGCACCATCAGTAGATAGTGAAGCTGCACCTGCAAAGGCTTCAAAAGCTGAAGATGAGCAGAATGAAACAAGTAACTCACAGGATAAGACGCTGAAGAAGCCAGACAAGATACTTCCTTGTCCTCGCTGTAATAGTATGGATACAAAGTTCTGTTATTATAACAATTACAACGTGAACCAGCCCCGACACTTCTGTAAGAATTGCCAGAGGTACTGGACTGCTGGCGGGACCATGAGAAATGTTCCTGTTGGTGCTGGTCGACGCAAGAACAAAAATTCAGTCTCACAATACAGACACATATCAGTGTCAGAAACTCTTCATAATTCCCAACCAGATCTTCCAAATGGAATACACCACCCTACGCTGAAGCCCAATGGTACCGTACTCACCTTTGGTTCAGATGCACCTTTGTGCGAGTCAATGGCTTCGGTTTTGAATATTGCTGAGAAAACGATGCAGAATTGTACCCGGAATGGCTTCCATAGACCAGAGGAGTTGAGAATACCAGTTCCTTATGGAACTGGAGGGAATGGAGATGAACACTTGAGTGGATCTTCTGTCACTACATTAAGTTCAAAGGATGAGGCTAGTAAAGATAGTTTGCCAGACAAGCAGATGCCTAATTGTCAGAGCATTTCTCCTCAGGTACCTTGCTTTCCAGGGGCTCCTTGGCCTCCTTACCCATGGAATTGCATTCCATGGGGCTCTTCAGTACCACCAGCTGCTTTTTGCCCTCCTGGGTTTCCTATGCAATTCTATCCTGCTGCTCCTTATTGGGGTTGTACTGTTCCGGGTACTTGGACTGTCCCTTGGCTTAGCCCACCACCTACATCCCAAAACCTCAATTCCCGGACTTCTGGTCCTAATTCCCCAACTTTGGGGAAGCACTCGAGGGATGATAGCATAATGAAACCTGTCGACAGCAAGAAAGAAGAGCCACAGAAAGAGAGTAATCCTGAAAAATGCTTGTGGGTTCCAAAAACTTTGCGCATTGATGACCCAGGAGAAGCTGCAAGGAGTTCTATATGGGCAACCTTGGGAATAAAAATTGATAAAGTTGATTCAGTTGGTGGAGCTGGTCTCTTCAAGGCCTTCCAACCGAAGGGGGATGAAAAGACACGTGTTTCAGAAACCTCTACTGTGTTGCAAGCCAATCCAGCAGCCTTATCCAGGTCCTTAAGTTTCCACGAGATGTTGTAAACCAATAGGCAGCAAACTTAACAAACATCTCGATACTGTGGCAACAGAAGACAGGATCTATTGGTTTATGCTAGTTTTACCACACATGTTGTTGCCCCTGACCAGATCTTGATGCAAGAGATCAGAAGCATACTTGATGATTAGAGTGTAGGAAGTTGCACTGTTTTGGATGTTGTATCAATTAGGTGGTTTTGTATCTAAGATGGCATGTTGAGTTCTTAGTCCATGTACATACTAATATATGACTTAGCGAGACAATCAGAGTGAGCTTGTGTATGTGCACTAATTTTGAAATAAAATCAAGCGTTTTTCTCTTGGCATTTTCTTTTAGAAATTGATATTGCGAATGCTGCTCCTCTATTGTTGAGGAGCTACCATCTTCTGGTCTTGAATATGCGCGGGTACTTTTTTCTTTTTCTATGAGCCATTTGTGCCTTTGGTGCTGAGTTATAAGATCTGTATAGTTTATCCTAGCATCCCAAGCAGTAGATTTCATAGGTTGGCCGGAGAAGTGTTGCTGTATCAGCTGATTTTAACAACGGTGCAACAATAGGGACCGGATACCGTTTTGACATTTTGGAATGATCCTAGATTATGTATAAAACTGAAAGAAGCTCCAAGAAAGGTTTATTGCCAGTTATCTTGGTTAGCCTAACTTGGTGCTTCCCACTGTGTTATGGAGACATGATCTTAGTAGCTGCACACCCTGTTGATAAGGTACAATACAAGCATAAGCTCTTCTTTATTTTGTTTTACTTGGGGGGCCGGGGAGGGGAGGGTTAATCATCTGGATGGTACGGTAGAACCTCTCACTCCTCTTGTGACGGAGTTAGAAGTTGTAGCCGCGATTTACCCGTCAGAAGATAAGACGGGGGACGGCCGGAGTCCCTGTAGAGATTGTCAAAACAAATTGGCAAGTTGAAGATACACGCGAGAGAGAAAGTTGAAGTTCACAAAATACATCTTGGAAGGGATCAGACACTATACTGTTGGAACGTAAAGGATTTACGTTAATCGTAGTACTTGCAACTGGCCGGCCCGTTCATTCATTGGCTACTACTACTACTTCTAGTGCCGCACGGTGCGTTTGCTCGTGGGACATTAAGCAGTCCGTGACACTTGGAATCGATGCGATCTTGCTAAAGTCAACGCTTACATTAATGATATTTGATCGTTCATCATCGGATGATGGCTGATTTACAGATTCTACTCCTACTGTCTTGGGAGTCTCTAATTAATATTGCACTTGGATTAGTTGGAAACAATAATATAATTCAGACTCAACTCAGATCTGCGAGCGTACCTCTGCATCCACCAATACAAGAATTTAATGTGTGTTGACTAGAGTTGTTCATGTGATGTGCCACCCACCCGAACGTGCAATTGTATTTAATCAGCATCACAGGTGTGTTATTACAATTTATTTGCTTAAATTAGCTTATAAGCCACCGACCCCCCTTTTTTTTTTTTTCCCTCTTTTGATTCTTCACTTCTCCGTACTCTTTTATCCTGCTTCGTTTGCTGTACAGGTCATTGAACCCGTTCCCAAATACGAAGCACAGCTCCTCCGGATCCGTCTTCTTTTCCCCTTTTCTTTTCTGATAAACTTTTTTGATATACTTATTTTTTTTGGAAAATGATCGGTTTCATCCTTCACATTTCACAAAAATATTCTTTTCATCCCTCACTTTTAAAATGAAGCAATTTCATCCTTGACATTTAAAAACTGAAATTATTACATCCCTGAACCCAAATTTCAATTTGAATCAAACCACCAATCAACCTGATTACAAATTTTGGAGGTGTAATTGGTAGATCACTTGGTTAACTCAACTTGATATTTATGTGAAATTTAATGAACCTAAAAATAAAAAATAAAAAATTATAACATTAAAAAGAAAGATTAATCTTTTCTACATTATCATTGTATACACTGACAGTTTTATGTACTGCCATATCATTTTAATTTTAATTTAAACGCCAAATTTTATATTTATGATACACATGTAGATTCGCAAGCGGATATACTAACGGTGCATGAAAAGATTTATAAAAAAAAAAACTCTACTATTTCAAGACAAAGAATGGCCTTTTATGTTATAATTTTTATTTTTTTGGTTTAATAAATGTCATGTGAATATGATGAAGTTGACCGAATGATCTATCAATTCTATTTTCAAAATTTATTACTAGGTTATTGGATGGTTTGATTCATATTGAAAATTAGGTTCAAGGATGTAATAGATTTAATTTTTAAATGTCAGGGACGAATTTGCTTCATTTTAAAAGTGAGGGACGAAAAGAATATTTTTGCGAAACGTGAGGGATGAAATAGGTCATTTTCCCTATTTTTTTCGACAGTTTTTTTGATGTACTTATATACAACATCGTTTGGGTAATAGCTCGGGTTAGCTCAATGATCAAGGAAGTTCTCCCCACTATCGGATTTGAATTCTGGCTCTGATGATTGGAGATGGAAAGGGTGTAAAAAAGGAATGGAAAGTATATATATTAAAAAAAATGGAAAAAAAAGAAGAAGGCTTGGATAATTAGAGCAGCCAAAAGTAAAAGGGCACCGGAAACGCCATCTCGAAGTAGACATTTTCCATCCTCCCATAAACTTGAGCATTAATTGGAATCATTGATTATTTCTTTCTTAAGCAGTTGCATTTTGAGGGAATTGTTACAGAAGAAGTAAAAATCAAGATCCAAGGGACACTATAATACTACTATATCTCGACGATTAAAATAAGAGTATTCCAACGCAGGGAACTGTTCCATCTATTAAGTTAAACTGGTATAAATTACTAATTTAATAGTAAGTTATATACACTATCACAATTGAATGAATGATACATAAGTAAATTTTGAATTTAGCGCTATCAAAATGTTAAATTAGAAAACCATCAAAATGTTGAACAAAAGAAAACCTAAACTCGATACATGTAGTCTAAGTAACTCGGCGATCAAGAAGTTTCGACACTTATTGGTGATCAAGAAGTTTGTACTGCAGGAAATTATCTAATACAATATTTAAATAAGAAATTACCTAATACAATACTTAAATAAGAAAATTGACAAAAACTATCCTTGGCCGAAAAAAAATTACTACTAAAGAAATTGCATGCCAACATTCAGTTTTTTTCCCTCCCAAAAAGATTTGACGAAACTGATCAATTTTTAGAAATTACACATTATACGTTTTATTTAAGTCGGTTAATGGGAATAAATCTTTGTACAATTGGTGTAGGAAACTACTTGCAAAAAAACAAAAACAAAAACCCCTTGAAAAGAGGGTCCGCAGAAGTGTCAGTACTTTCATCGCATCGGATCTGAGGCCAGTCTTACATTCTTCTGACACAGCATTCTCCATTCTTCGTTGTATCTTCTTACGTCCACAATTTCGGTAGCAGAGTAGAGCAAATAGCTGCTCATTTTCAGGGTTTGCGAAACAAGCAAGATCAATCATGAGATCCTCTTGCTTTCAGGCAATGCTCCTTGTGTCAGTTCTTCTAATTCTTTCTTCTACTCATGGTAATTAGTTCATGTTAACTACGTACAGACCATCAGTAATTATTAATCGGTATAAATTTGTTGATTTTCTGAAGCTTCGTTATTTACGCCGGCCGTTTGGTTTTATGCACAGGATCAGCCAGGAAAATGACGGTGGAGACTTATGGCTACCAAGATGCTGCTGCCCCTGTTTCACAACTTTCACTAAAGGTAATTTCAAATTCCCTTTTTCTGTTTTCGGTTAGAGATAAACTTTTGATCCTCTACAAAAAATATATATATTAAAAAAAAAAGTTTTTGGGGCAGCTTAAATGTTCGTTTTCTTCGATGCCTTCTCAGGAAAACGCAAGGGAGATTATCCAATTGGACTACGTTGAAGCAGGGCCAAACTATAACTCAAGAGGTGGCTATCCTTTCACTCCACTCCCACCACCCTCACCGGAGGACTGAATGATTTCCTTATATTTAGGTGCTATAGAGACTGCGTTTGGATTGAGTGTTTTTGCACCTGTTTTTGAAAAACTGTTTTTCACATTCCAAATGATACAGTAATGTGTATTTCAAAAACAACTTCAAAAACACCCATATCCAAACAATATATCAAAAACAACTCCAAATATATTTCAATTATGTATATTTAATTTGTATATTTTAATTATGTATTTTAATATGTATATTTCAATTATATTTTAATATATTTTAATATGTATATTTCAATTATGTATATTATATATATATATTATATTAATATAAATATATTTATTTCAATTATGTATAATATTATATATATTATATCAATTGAAATAAATATTATATATTTATATAAATACATTTATTTATATATAAATTTATAAATATATTTATTCAATTTTGTTTTATAATATATATTAATATGTATATTTCAATTATGTATATTATACATAAATTATATTAATAATAATGTATATTATATATATTATACATTTCTAATATTATATATTTATACATACATATTATAAATATTTTATTTTATTTATAATATATTTTTATATATTTATAATATATTTACATAAATATTATATGTTATATAAATTATATATAATATAATGTATAATATATTATACATTTATACATAATATATAAATATTTATGTTTATTTATAATATACATTTATATTATGTATAATATATAATATAATACATTTATACATTTATATTAATATACATAATATTAATTTTACATTTATACATAATATTAATACATGTATACATTTATATTAATTATATTAATACATTTCTACATAATATTAATATATATTTATAATTTATTAATTTATACATTTATATAATATTCATTTATAATTTATACATTTTTAATAATATACACTTATACATTTAAATATACATTTATATTATGTATTATATATATTAATACATTTATACATTTATATTAATATACATAATATTAATTTTACATTTATACATAATATCAATACATATATACATTTATATTAGTTATATAAATACATTTCTACATAATATTAATATATATTTATAATATATTAATTTATACATTTATAATTTATACATTTATAATAATATACACTTATAATTTATAATATATTTATAATATTCATTTATACATTTATAATAATATACAGTTATACATTTATAAATATATTTATATTATGTATTATATATAATATAATACATTTATATATTTTTATATGAATATATAAATATATTTATTTATAAATATCTATAAATGTATTATAAATGCATAAATGCATATTTATATAAAAATATAAAATTTATAATTTATAATTTATACATTTATATAATATTCATTTATAATTTATTCATTTATAATAATATACATCTATACATTTGTAAATATAAATGGATTATAAATGCATAAATGTATATTTATATAAAAATATAAAAATTATAATATTCTAAAAATACTCAAAAATATGTTTCCAAAATACCTCTAAAAATAATCTAAAAAAATCTACAGTAAAAGTTTTTCATATAGTTTTTGAAAAACAACCCCAAAAACAACTAATCCAAACGGACTTGTTTTTCAGATTCAAAATGCTACAGTGGTGTTTTTGAAAAACAAACCCAAAAACAACTAATCCAAACGGAGCCTCTGTTTTCTTTGCCTGTTTTTCTCCCTCTTTTTAGTTGGTTTTCCGGTCCGCAAGCTGGCATCTACTCGTGTTTTGTTGCATACGGTGTTTCTCTTGTTTACCGCATGGTTTTTAAAAAGAGACTGTGTGTTTTTGGGACGAACACCGGCTGTTTTTAACTTCTTCGATAAATATTACGGGTTTAAATGGTAGTTATTATGGGTTGCTGCCCCGGGCCCTTTTTTTTCTTTAATATTTTTTATTTTTTAAAATTTAATGTTCGACCAAAAAAAGGAAAAAAAAATAGGTAGACTAAATTAGGATTTTCGAGTGTCTATACTTATTATTATGGATTACTTGAATTCGAATTTGACCAATGTCATTTGTTGACGCTTGAGTTGGACTTGAGAAAAAAAAACAAACGAGCTGAGTTTCATTCCACAAAGTGAATTGAGTAAATCGAGCTCGATCCTAAACTTGAGTCAAATCAAGCTTAGTGTAGTGATAAAAATTATATTAATTGCCCTAAAAACAGTACTATTATTTGGCAATTGGGCAATACTATATGTAAGAAATGTATAAATGTAATAAGTACTCGATAAGATCGAGTAGCATTGTAAGGAGTACATCGAACTCAATTCATCTACCAACTCGGATTACTCTAGATTGACTTGAGTTTAGGTTTGACTGAATTTGATTGAACCTTTAACTGGGTTGGAGGACCAGCTATCTGTCTAGCAACAGCATTAAGGTTGAATTAAAAAAAACTACATTATCAATTGTAAAATATTTTCTGATTGCATTATAAATATTTTTTAATCATCTTTTTTGATCTTTTCAACTAATTTTTTTATCTCGCACTCATCATATAGAAAAAAGTATTACAGTAGTGTTATTTCAATTTTTTTTAAAAAAAAATCTCCTATCCAAACACATCAATATTTTTACCAACCGTAACCGTCTTAGTGTAACAATACTAGTTTTATTTTCTCTATACAAGCATCTACACAATATATAATGAGAGAGATCTGTTGTGTGATATTAACACGTAGTGTCATTTTTAGATTTGCTTTTATACCCTAAGTTGTGAAAGTACAATGATCCCAAGTAGGCCAAAAAAAGAAATCCTACAGTTTAATATGGTTTTTTAAAACAACCTTGATAGTGTTTTAGGCACACTCGATATATATACCAGAAATAAAAAATATATTATAAAAGTTAATTTTGATGATAAAAAATGAATAACAATTTGAAAAGAGAAAAGAAATAAGAAATTATGAAAAGAAGTCCGGATAACTGATAGGAGAATCCTTTTATAGATAATTAGTTTGCAATTATAGAGGGCGTGAAAAAATAAAGAAACTTTGTATAGACAATTGAAGAAGACTTATGGATGTTTGGATAGCAAAATTTTTCAAATAATATTTCTCTTGCATCATAAATATATTTTCTAACCCATTTTTTTATATTTTTAACCACATTTTTATCTTATATATATCATATCATAAAAAATATTACAGTAATTATTTTGAACAATACTCTATGCAAACAATAAATGATTATGGCATTAGATTGTAGTCGTACACACTCTGACACTGAGTTGCGAGTACTGGGCTATTATAATGCAGGCCCATGATACGACTTAACATTTTCGTCAATTATCATGTAACCTGTCGTAAGGCCCATGGACTCGTCAGCTGGAATATCTGAAAGTCTAGTCCTTTCTGCTTTCAAAGAAGTCACGGACTCACGGCACAAGAGGCCGTCGAAATTGAATATTCATATTCTATTTTTTAGTGGTATTTAATTTAGGTTTTGTTTGATAACTTAGTTTAGCATTTAAATTTAATAAATTTACACCTTAATATGTTCAGATGCGTATGATAGTCAAAAATTAAGCTTATGAATAAACTAAGTTAACAATGATTGATAACGTATTCACTTATACATTCAAATATATTTGATTTAATACTTAACGATTCAATAATTTATTATATTCAAACTTAAAATCTCATATTTTAAACTTAAATTTTTAGAGTTCTTAGTTCAGGTTTTCTTGTGGAAATTCCTTTCAACTTCAATTAGTATTGGAACTCATCTCGCTTGAGCGGCTTGAAAGCCTAGGACCATTGTCAGAAATGAATTGAATCGTGCCGCTAGTAAATCATCACAAGATCCCAAGAAGCAATTTTTTTTTCCTTTTTTCTTTTTTGGAATTGTCTCCTGTATTCCAATGTATTCTTCTCATCGAAATTGTGGAGTCAAAAGACAAAGCATAATTATCGCTAGTACAAAGATAACAGTGCATAACGAACAAATTGTATGAAAGAATATAATATTTTTTTGATTCAATAAAATTCCCTCCTCGCCCAAGGAGGAGGAAAAAAAAAACTGTTGAACGGGTTTCTGGGTAAAGATTACAGACTGTAAACGGTAAAAGAAGAAAAATATTTCAGCAGAAACTGTTCTCCAAAAACTTGACGAACTCAATGAAATCGATTTTGTCATCCCCATCCTCATCAACCGCCCGGATCATTCTTCTGCAGTTCTCCAACTCTGATCCTTCTCTCAATCCCAGAGCGCATAAAAGTCTCTGCAACTCGTTTGCATCAATAAACCCGTCCTTATTTTGATCGAACACATCAAAAGTAGCCTTTACCTCATCCTCACTAGGTTCCTTCTCCTCGAACAAATTAAAGAGATCATTGCAATTCAATCTCTCCTCAACTATTCTCGCACCATCGTGATCATGATGCCCTAACAATCCTAGGCTTGTGAACACCAGTTTTACGTCTTCCCCGCATACGCTTTCATCATGTTTGTCGACTTTGAAGCCAGGCTGCTGCTGCTTCACCAAAAACTCAGAAACTTGATTCTTCTTCTGCTTCTTCTTCTTCTTCTTTTCCTCCCCAACAACTCCGGAGTTCTTTAATCCATCACTGGATTGCTCTTGAATGGAAGAAGTGGAAGACCTTGATCCCAAGAAAAAAGAGTAGATCTTGCCGTCCCAGTCAAGAATTATGTACATGCAAACTTGAAGGAATCCCAGAACTAAGACGAGAAGAGGGATTGTGTTATCTAGAGACATGTGCTCAATAGGCAAGTGGTTGAGGCCGCTATGCAGAGACATGGCTGATGATGGCTATGTAACTAAGGAACGATATACTTACTGATGCCTCTTTGAGCGTTGGCTTTTGAGATTGCGAAGTTGTTCTGTCATGGAGAAACTGGAAAGCAAATGAAGAAGTCTTGGTCCAAACTGGTGTGGGAATTAGGAGGGGGCTGGGGGGCCAATATATATTCCGTGGAAGGATGGGGGCTAGAAGGATGATGTTAATTTGAAAGTCGCCATCAAGAGCTGAAGTTGAAGGGGTGTGTCTTTTTTGGAAGGGGTGGGGAAGTTGCTGGTGAGATGCAGTTGTTGAAACTTGAAAGGTGGGAAGGAATTGGTAAGTGGGATCGAAGAAACCCGACGTCTTGACTTGTAGAAATAGTCACCATTTGAGGCAGGCGGGGAGGGAAGTTTCTTTGCTGTTGCCGAATACGGGTGGTGAAGAATTTTGGTAACACCTGTAAGTTTTTTAATGAGATATGGTGGGTTCGGCGGCTGGCGGGCCTGGCCTGTCTATTTCTTTACTTGCTTTTTGTAGTACCGGGGAAAAAATAATGCGTAATTGCTCGGAAGTAAAAGGGAAATGTGGCCAAACTTTTTTGTGATTACTTTGACCAAAGGGTGATTAGAAGAAATAGACATGAAGTTTCTTGAAATTGATATTTCCACAGAAATGTAAAAAGGAAGGACAGTGGAATTGAAAATTCCTGGCGGCCTTGTACTTTTCATTTGACTCGCCATCGTGTTTTTTTTTTTCCATGCAGGGTCATGTTTTGTGTGTCTCCACGACCCGGAATTTTACGCACAAGTGCTCTACTACTATCTTCCGTGGAATTTGGGAAGCAGGTGGCAACTTTTCCTCAAGTACTCAGCTTCTTCCGTAGGATTTCTTCGAACTCTCTTTTCCCACGTTTCTTGCATTATGGGAAGGGGCGGAGGAGGAGTTGGTCTTTGGTTGTACAATAATCTATGCTCAGAAGACTTTTAGTAGAATCAGAAAAGGAAGTTAAACAATTGCGACCGTGGTAAAACTGATGAGTTGAATCCGTTTCCTGATCTCCTTTTTTGACTATTTCCTTTGAATAATCAAAGTCGTTAGTTTTGTACGAGAAAAGGAAAAAAAATAAACATTTAATGCCCAGTCTGAAATAGAAAATCATTTTTTACTCTCTCAAATCAAAATTTGGAACAAGTGAATGAACGAGAGAAGCAACAGAGGAAATGGACTAAATCAAATTATATGGACTCTTTTTTTTTTCCTTTTTTTAAAGAGAGGGCTCAATCTTGTGAACTCCCACCTACAATCTCTCTCTCTTTCTCTCGAACCGTCCAATTCATCATTCCTTCTGAATAAAATGGACCCGTTGCTTAACTTTGTTATTGTTATTAGTGGTTGAAGCATACCCAATGCGTATGCAATCAATTAACAATTATTAATATTATTTTTTGTAAAAAAGTAGTTTAAAATGGTGTAATTGTTTTAGCATTTTAGCAAGGGTGGTAGTTTTTTTTTGTTAAGGAAATGCTAGTTAATTCAATAGATATGGAGTGAATACATGAAGGTGGATAGTTAAAATAATCTAATTGTGTTTAGAAATAGGGATAAATTAGGTACTATATTAAATGACACAATTTATTTATATCAAACCCTTCATCCTCTTTTCGCTTTATCGCCAACATAGAAGATCGTAGCGATGGTGACAAATTAGTATTTAAGACATGCACGAATGTGTGTCCAATTAATAAAATAAATTTGTGCTAAACTTTTGAGTATATTTGAAATTATTTTCAAGAGAATGAATTTTATATTCTAATAGTAAATATGGCGGAAAATTTATTAAAATAAAAAAATATATATAAAAATAATTATGCGGTAGTAATTTATAGTCAAAATTGGTAGTTACTAGTAAAAATTAAGGTTCATTAAATAAGTTGAAAAACAAAATGATAAGAACACATATTAGTTGGAAGAATGATATGTTGGAAGTTAGAAATGAGTGGTTACCAATTGTAATTTAAGGAGAACGTAAAGTGACACAAAAAAGTTTACACCAACCATGCCCTACCCCTTTAGAATATAGTATAGATATAAATATACAAGACCAAAATACTTTTGACTAATTCTTGAACACAAGTAACAATTATAACCTAACAAATAACAATATTTCAGTGATTGCTAAATTGATTTAAACACAATTACACTATTCACTCAAATTTTTAGCAACAAATAGCCTGGAAATTTTATTAAAAAAAAATGTGTAAGCAATTGAAAATGCATATCTCAATGCTAATAGTAGTGCTTATTTTAACTTAATAAAATTATTGAGTGGAGTGGAATCATTTATTGTAATATTTTCCATATATTTTGTGTGAAATAAAATAATGATTGAAAAAATAAACGTGTAGTGAAAAAAAGTGTTTGAAAAATCTCAATTTTTTTTCTTACTTTTTTTGTTTTAAAAATTCTGCTTGTGGTGCATTTTAATTTTTTTTCCAAAGAAAAAGGGTGGAATTTGAAAAAGGAAGGAGATTTAAATCCAAAAACTCTACGTTCTCAAACATTCACCTTAACTAATAGGCCTTGCTTCACCTTAATTACTAGATCAAGGTTTCCTCAACTTATTTCTCTTTTCGAAAAATCATACAGAACGAACGAGTCGAATTTGTTAGGGCTACAACTCTTTTCCATTCAGATAGATAGAACTTCCAAATCGGGCCTTTTTGTTGCACGAAATAATGAGGGAAGATAATTTAGTCTTAAATGGGCTAAAGAGCTCTCCGCATCGGTTTGAAACACAAAGATGGGTATGATCCACTAGCGACAGATGGTTAAATGGGCTGTCCAGGTGGTTAACTAGCATTACAAGTGAAGCAAGCTCTTGGCTTTATACTATTCAACAATCCCCAGCTGGGCTGACACATAAAAACAATCCAATCCGAGAAGAATGTTTTATTTTCTCTCGGCGATCTTTTGAAGTTACTACTTTACTTACTAGCACAACTCTTGGATAAGCATTTATCAAATACTAGTATTAAGTGCACACATAATGTGTATGCAGTTTAGAAGTATTAGCTTTCATGAATATATTAATTTTGTTTTTACAAAATTAAATTTCATATAAATTCTTCATGGAAAAAATTGTAATTTATTAGTTATTTTTAAAAATATAGTTATAGTTAATTTGGCAGTTACAATATCTAAAAGAGTTATGGGAGATTATATTAGCAAATGTGATTAGATGATAAGGATAAAAATTATTTTTTTAAGGACAAAATTGAAAGTTCAAAAAATGACACAAAATGTCTACCTCAATTGCCTCCTCTCTCGTTTTATTGTTGTATAGATATTTTTTTTTTTTATATTTAACTCGTCAATCTCCAAATTGAACAGAAGAAAAAACTAGAGGACTTGCTTTTTGTCAGCCTAGCTACTGTTCCGCACCAATTTAGTTCACGCTTCTTCATATTCCAAAATGGCATTCAGGCTTTGAAGTTTGAAACCAAAAAAAAAAAAAATGTGAAATTTATTTTTGAGTGCAAGATATTAAACAAACTAAATTAAGAAGTATCGTTCCAAAATAAATGTTATATAGACTCGATTTAAGAAGAACTAAAACAATTTTACTTTAGGTAAAAGCCAAGAATGAAAGACAAAACATTCTATCTTAATGTGGGGAGAGAGATTATAAGTAGGGTTCATGGGTTCAAAACCTTCAACTTTAAAAAAAAAAAAAAAAAACTTAATGTGCTTGTGAAAATCTTTCACGATTTTTTTTTTTTTTTTGCACTTGTTTTCACTTGACAATTAGGTTTTTAACCCCTTTTTAAAACCAATAAATTGCTCCGGAGTCTCTAGTAAGAGTGAAAAAAATCATGGAATAAGCTCTAATCTTCCTTCAAACCTGTTGAAAGCTATCCTTAAAAAAAAAAAAAACAGAAAAAATTGAAAGCTATCGTACTGGGGTTCCAGTAACATGTGACCCAAACCCATCGACAACATCCGCACACAGAGCCTGCCGACAGAGTTAAAAATGAAGACAATGACATCGTCCCCCACATTTGAAAACATCTATTATGGGTCCTGCCATCTTAAAAGCCCATAAATATGGACTTACAAAGGACGTTACTACATTCTCCAAATGTTTAGGTTCCTCCTAACCTACTGCTATTATCAAACAAAAAAAACCTCAAAAATTAGAGCAAGAGTTGGTCTGATATTTATTTATTTATTTTTGTCAATCGACAAAACCTACTTTTACTCCTATTCTAATCTATATTAGAGGAGGTTTCAATTGGGTCAGGGGATTATAAGAGGCGGATGATTCACCTCTAAATCAAAGGGGTACACTATTATACGCTCGACCTCCAACAAGTTGCATCTTAGACTTCACTTGATGGCCAACTCTAGGAGAGTTGATTAGTCGGGCTGATATAAACGAGGATCTAAGTTCCATTGCACATGCTTTTGTCCCTCAATTTAGGGCCACCAAATATTTGGTAACACATTTTTCAAAATATTGTTGGATATGTCCATTGCAACATTTTTGAAAAGATGACTTTTTCCCTCCTAATTTGACGGCTTTATGTATGTAAATTTTTTTTACCAATTTGTACATTTAAACCGTTTTTTTCTACCATGAGTAAAAGCTGCTTCTTCATAAAACAAATTATATGTTTTCTACAAACTATGGGTGTGTTTGGTTCACAGACTAGATGAGAGAGGATTACTTATTCTCGAATTATTCATCTTGGATTGAATCATTTTCGGATGAGTAATCTTGTTGTTCAGTATTTAGTAGTCTTTATATTAGATGGGATGTTTTAGTAAATAACCTTATCCTGTGTTTGGTTGGATATATGATGAGGTTGAATTACTTATTTAAAGACCAAAATGCCCTTTTTTTTAGCAAACCTACAATTAGAAGTGTTTGGGTTTTAGTAAGCCTAAACCTGGCTTGTAAATATACACACACATACACACATATACATAAAAATATATATAATAATTGATTTGAACACGAGCTTGATATTAGTGAATAACATACATATGTGAGCTTTGTGTGCTTTGAACTCGAACCAACATATAAATTTTTGTTTTGGATCGAGTTCGACCTTATTAAATGGGTTCACAAGTCTCAATTTACATGTCCAATTGTTTATTAATTAACTAGTAGGGGTAAAATAGTACAAAATCTACGTTTACTTTTAGTAGGGTAAATCAGTTTAAAATTTTAGTAGGGCCAAATTAGTTAAAAATTTAATTTATTAACAATAGGGGTAAATTAGTAAAAAAATTAGTGATTTCATTAAAATGGACAAATTAGTTCAATGAACATTTTTTTGTGGGTAGGGGCAAATTTATCTTAGTTATTTTATTAATATGGACAAACGAGTAAAAAGTTAGTTATGTTAATCGTATGGAACAATCAATCCAAAATTATAGTATATCATTGATATGGACAAATTAGTCCAAAATTAAATTTTTAAAATTTTTAAATTAGTATGGACTAATTCATCCAAAATTTTGTTATGTGATTAATGGAGGCAAATTAGTCCAAAATTTGGATAATGTTTTAGCAAGAGAGTAGGTTTATATAGTTGTTAGAATAAAGCATCATTCTATAGTAGGGGAAAATAAGTCACAATTGTCATTAGCCCACCTCTTACTCATCTTTGGATAACTCGTACAATCTCTCCTCATGGGGATTATTTTATCCCCGATACAAGGGATTAATTCGGTTACATGGGACGTATCATTCCATACATAAATAGCAACAAAACATGGGATGACATTGGAATATAGTATTAGTAATGTAATCTTGTGTCATTTTATGAGCCAAACCAATCCTATATGTAAAAGCAAGCTGTACCGCCCTCAGTTGCGTGTCCCTCTATAGTAAATACACTAATTCACTTGCTTTGGTTTTCTGAGAAATGAAGTCCTAATAACTAATTTGTGTAGTTTTTGACTTTGGTGGCTCAGATTTCGTAGTTTCATTGTGTTGCTTAGTATATTTGTTGTTTATGTGGCGTCAGACCTGGAAGTTGGGTTTGCATGTAGTGGCTCAAACTGGATGTAATATCATCACATTCGATAAGCAGTAAAGCTGAAGAAAGAAAGTGAGGAAACTTCAAATTGTTAAATTTGACATGCATATGATTACATAGGCAAATGGATGTTATCAAGAATTTGCTGCTCGAACCAATGAATCATCATCGCCCACAGAAGTTATGACTTAAAAGAAAAGCAGATTACATTTCATACAAGCAAATAAGTATTGCATAATGTCTCACCTCTTAATGAAAACTGTAAAAGATTACAACCAACTGCCCATTATTTATAATTACTTAACCACCCTCAATTTCCCTCCCTCATCTCTTTCCATACATAAATCACACTCCGAAAACAATCCAAAAACAAAGAAAAAAAAGGGACCAGACTTAAGCCTTAAGGCCCCCTTTTTCCCCAAAAATTGGCTCATAATTAATTAAGTCATCGATCCCAAATAATTACCCAAACTAATTTTTACAGCAATAAAACTATATGAATGCAGAGCTACCGTGTAGTACTATAGCAGTATTTAAATTGGATAAGTTGTGGCAGGGCATTGAAGTTTTGATTAGTAGAACTGGCGGCCGCTATAGGTCTGGCCGAAGGACCAACTTGGAGGCGCAACGTTGTAAGAAACTACACTTCGACCATCACTAGTGGTGACCTTGAAAGATAGGCTTTGTCCGTTCAGGTAGCTGTTGCTCTGCCAATTTTGGCCCCAGTTCCTCGACATTTGTTGCCACCGGGTTCTTGATCCCTTAATGTACACAGCTTGTGCATCCCCTGCACCCCCAACATTGGTAACAAGAACCAGGTTGAAGTAGGAATGCCCATTTATGGTGAACCGAATTCCACCCCTTCTTCTGCAGGGTACCCTACAACGTATAAACAAGAGCGATTAATGCTTGTCAGACTGATAAGATAAGCACAATGCACCGATTAACAGTGGTAAACTTTTTACCTTCTGTAAACAACTGGAACGATCCCGGCTCTGTATTGGGCAATGCGAAGGAAAGCCGGTTCGGAGAGGTCAAAGTGATGATTGGGAGGGTCGCACCATCCCCCTGGCGGGCAGAAGTTGGTGGCGGTCACCATGATGCTTCCCCTGAGGCACCATCGGGGTTCATTGGCGCACACAATCTGATAGCAGGATCCACAGCTTAATCCATTGTTGAAAAGAGCCGTGCTCAGTGCAGTTGTAGCGGTCCCGTACCCCTGGCTGTACAGATTCCCATATCCGCAAGCCCCTCCTGCAACCAATAAGTAACCAAACTACCCTTCAATCACAACGTTCTATTCAATTGTATTAGAAAAAAGAAAGAAGAACTTCACGCACATTGCAGTACCAAGGCTAATTTTTAAACGTACGTACCCATTGTTCCAGAAGCATCACCTCCACCGTAGAAGGTTGCATGAGCATTCATCCAACCACCATAATACCCATGAACAGATGATACAACTGAGAGTAGCCCAACTATGAAGAGTAGTCCTCCAAGGAGCTGCATTTTTACTGCTTCACGGAGGCAACTAGTACAATCAGTATTCCTAGAACTTGTGGTGGCACATCAATACTGCTATGTATGGAGGGGCTTGAGGGAGAATTACTTACCGGCTTGAGGGAGGAGCTTGAGAGTAAGCTCGGAGTGGTTGTGAGGAAGTGAAGAGGGACGAGGGTATCGGACGGGAATAAATAGGAGTTTGGACTTCGGAGGGGTGTGACTTGTTAGAGCCTAGAGGAGATGGGGAGAGGGACAACACATCGAAAGCTGACAAGCTTGACATTTAATTTCGCCAGTTGCTTGGGACCAATATATTGGTAATATTGTTGCTGTACAGACAAAAGTCGTTAATTTGCCATTGAAAGTGAATTCTTTTTTGGGTTCTGGCAACAGCTACATACGTAGTTCGAATGGAAGAGGTCAATACTCACGCAGGATTTCTCTTAAAAGGTTAAAACAAACTTTGAAGTAGAACGGTGAATGCTGGTTCTTCCATGTACGTTTGCAATAATCCACATCTGCATTTGGGAACAATGGAAAGCAGAACGGAGATCTAAATCGGGACAAATTTTCATTGTCGGTGCATGGGATACTCCAAAATTTCACCGGATGATTGTTGCCATATTTACCAAGTAAATTACTCCATCAATTTGTCTTATTTTCAACTTAATTTAGAGAAAATCATATAAATGGTCCTTCGCATATGGGCTTTGTATCTTCCGCGTTTCTCGCATACACGGAATGATCACATATTGATTTTGTACCTTCTTCTATATCCTTTACATATAAAATGATGAATTTTCATCTCTCACATTTTTAGTCTCTTGATTCATTTTTAGCAACATTCTTGTCGCAAAAAAATCACGTGCCAAAAGGCAACATTTCACACGCTGAGGGATGTAAAAATTACAAAACCAATATATAAGGAATGAAAAATCATCATCATTTCACATGTGAGAGACATAAAAGGCACAAACCTGATATATGAGAAAGTATTTTTATGATTTTGCCGCAACTTTATAGCGAGATGGATGTTTATGGAGAATATAACCCAAAATCACCAACGCACGACTATGTGAGTTGTATTGTTAAAAATATTTTGACGTTTTTGGGTGGATAATCAATCTCATGTTCTTGTTGTCCCAGCATTTAAGAATTGGAGCATCTTCAACTTTTTCTTTTCAAGCGCGGATTTGGTTTGCAATTATCACGCTAAGTCAAAAAGGAGAGTAGCGTATTATACGTGCTTTTTCAGGCATTTAATTTTAATCAGAATTAACTGATAAGCGTGGATATCCTCTATGACCTACTAATCAGAGGACGAGAGGTGGGAATGTCCTTAAAAATGGAATCCATTGGCCAAATGCCGGAGACTCGTACGTGAAAAAGGGTTTATGAAAAAAGTTGTCAACAAAATACTCCCAAAATGTCAACATGAAGGAAGGAAAGTAATGCTGATTCCCGGTTTGACACCGAATTCTCATTTTCTTGTCATCCACCCCGTAATCAAAGGAGCAGTTCATTCCATGAATAAGGAAGACCAAGACTTAAATGTATGCCTCTGAGTTAGATTGGATAGGTCATCCGCCATGGAATTCGCGTTTCAACTTCAATCATCTTATTTTAAGAGAATTATTATTGACTCATCTACTCCATCCAGCTAACCCAATTATGCAATGGATCTCATGAAGAAAATCGGATATTAAAATAAGAATAAATTTTATATATACTGATAATGTATACATTATCACGATTTGATTCACTATATATCTGCAAAATTTGGATTTCAAATTTAAATTCGGATTAGGTATCATGCATTCAATGGTAAAAGTATATATGTACTGTTAGTTTATAGATAGAAGATTAATTCTTAAAGTAAAGCCACAGTTACGATCTTTTTTTCTCAGCAAATCATTTCTTAGATTTTAGTTGTTCGTCCTTATTTACTCACCCACTAATTTCGACAATAAAAAGTTTGATGCAGCCTGCACCCCAATAACTTTTGACTGTTGGTGGAGAATCACTGTAGAGGACCAAATGGCACCCAAGAAAGGCCTTGCATAGTTGCATGCAAATGGAGATTAAGGTGATCAAAATTGCAAAGATTGCCTAATGATCATCAGAATATAGGAGCACCCGGATCATCCTACGATAATGAAAGATCGGGGACCCTCTCAATGATTTATCTTTTCCTACGTCGGAGGAGCACCCAATGAGACACTGCACCCCAAATGGCTCTGCAGCTGGCGTTTCACTCGGGTACTATTGAATCATATTTGACGAACAAAAATTAAACTACTGCTTGGATTCAATTGCTAGTTTTTATCAATTCACGTCCACATGAATGATAAATGCAGACTTGATAGCATGTAAACCGTTCTGTCTAGTAAAAATCAACTGTCGAAACTAGACAGTAGTAGTGTCACTTCAAGAATTTTCTCAAAAGTTAAAAAACATCCAAAGAATCCTACCAGAATTAGAGTTTAGAGTTGGGATATTTCTATCCAAGCCTAGATTAGTTGGATGTACAGACCCATTCCATTCACCAGTGCTGTGTACTTCAGATAAGGAAAAGCATGAAAGAAATCACGCAGTCTATGTCAAAGGCCATGAGAGATTAAGCAACTCATTCCCAACCCAAAAGAAGGGAAAAAGAACAGAAGAAATGTATGGACACAGCTGGTAGGATTAATTGGAAAAAAGGGTCCAAAATCCTTAGCATATGGATGGGGTCGAAACTCGGAAAGCTACTCAGCAGCTGCAGGTCTCTCTAGCATTTAAATCTACATAGTGCAATAGGGTAGGAGACTAGGGAGAAATTTAGATCAAACACTTGCTTGTGCATTTTTTGCAGCACATGATAGTTCGGTTTCAGGTTGCAAAGAAAGTGACGCAAGTAAGTTGCCACATGATCTCTACACAGACATGTTTGCTGCTCGGCATCAAATAAATATGGCGTTAGGCCACCCGTCAGCTGTGGCCTATGCACATTACATTCACGCGCAGCTCCATAATTGCGAGAATTTTATTTGGATGTTTCTCAAGGAAGAAGAAGGGATATATATATAAAATGGATTTGCAATAACTTAAGGGCTTTGATTAAGTACTCGGTAAAAATTATCCTCACAATGTCTAAACTCAAGCGCAGGCCCTGGTTCCTCACCAACTTCCTCCACATTGGGTGATGACCAATTTAAGTAGTGAATTCTGGTTATTGCATATGATTGATTTTAGTTCTTGTACTTTATTTATCCAAATTCCTCCAAATTTTAAAGTTTTACCTCATCTTAGTACCTTACTTACAGCACGCATTTCGCAGCCGACAGCCATCATTCGTCATTTCTTAGCAACAGTACTGTGAATGATCTTGTCTGTGTAGCGGAAGTGCTAAGAGAGTCTGCAATGTTCACGCCCAAGCAATCTAGAGTAGTAAATTACAATCGGAATTGTAAAATTTACCATGCCAAAATCATCCTCCTTTCAACTTCCTCCGCGACCAATTGTGAACATCTTATGGGCAGGCGTGATAGACGGCAGACTTGGCCCTCCTTAGATTCTTGGAAAATTTTGGATGAGTAATGCGCAACAACTGCACCAACGTGCTGTGCTGCAGTTTTCCAAAACGGATGACTAACGAGTTATGGCCCTCCCTCCCAATTTGGGTCCAGAAATGAGAGAAAACAGTCCAACCACCATTTAATTCTGATCTGGACACCAACCAGCATCAAAGAAACACACAGTTGCGGAAGTTGTACATTGTGGTTGCAGAGATAAACCCGCAGGACGCACAGTATATTTTCCTTTTGGTGGCTGACAAGGTGGACCACCACTGATTAACATGACAACCACCAAAACGACATCTTAAGAACTAGTACTGCAATTCAAAGTTATGGCAACTAGACAAATGACAACATCTTAGAAGAAAACTTATCAAGTGTATTAACCTTTTTGATACAGAAGAAAAGTGAGGGAAAAAGGTTCAAGTTACCCCATATAAACGTTAGATCTTGTTCAAATGACATGCTCTTCCCGCCGTGCTGTTCGATGATGGGTTTTCTTTTTTAATGTTCGCCGTCATATCAGGTGCCGGTCATTCAGAGCTGCTCTTCTCGAGGGTCATTTGAGTTTCGTTTGTTAGGTTCATGGTTAAGCGTCAATTCTTCAATACAGTTGAATCTCCCAAACAAGGAGAAGAATAAATGCGGTGCGGTCACCGTCTTTGCACTCCAGCTTGATCGCTACTCCAGATACTGAAACATATGCGTTCCACTGACAAAGCTTTTTATGGACCCCAAGCACAAAAAACTCAGCCTTGCCCTCCGACGAATTCCGGAAAATATCTCAACATCCTCATAGAATATGCTTAATTGACCCATAAATGCAACTAACAACATTATTAAGATTTAGAGGACGCTTTTTACCGTGATTGATATGTTAGCTTGAGAGGCGGAAAGACTCCTCATTTTATGCGTAGGCAGAACAAATAATTTCATTGGGCGAGAATAAACACGCTCTTGTTCAACTTTCACGTTTGAGCACAGTTCCGACACCAGGCAAGACCTCTTACGGCAACTAATAAATATTTCAGAAACCAGCCTCTTCGCTTGAACACCTAAAACCACCGCCAAGCTGATTTGATCGGATTGTATTCCTCGAGTAATAGTGAATATTATATGCAGGCCCATAAAGGTATGATTGGAGTATCGTTTTTAAGTATTGAGCAATTCACATCCACCTGATCACATAAATCTCCATCTCTAGTGCGAAACAACTAAGAGCGAACGCAAGTACAAGCAGCACTAGAACTTGGAAAAAGTAAAATGAACTACTCTTCAAGTTTGATAAAAAACTTATTACTACATTGGGTCCACAGTGGCTAGGATAATAGTATATTCGAACACGAATTGTATGAACATTTATTATTAAGAAAACGGTCAACGCATGCACAAGCGGGGTAAAGTTGGTGGTCAGATCACCAGTCAAAAGATGCATAACCAAAAGCCGCTATATGATATAACCCCCGGCTGGTATATGCTATTATTAGATAACTATCCCTATAGATTATGAATACCCTTCTACGGTTATTGGCCTTGTACGGTTTTTGACAGGGAGTTCTCTCAAGACATTCAAGCAGCTCAAAACCAGTAAGCATTCTCACAGTACCAATGATTGAAAGAACCAAAAGCTCATGATACGGCACAAGTGTTTATTACAGT